TCCAGTAAGGAAAATTAGCCGAGAGCAAATAGGCTCAGGCTGTGGCTCAGAGAACATTTGGATAATAAGGTACATAATGTAACATGTATCTCTGAAACTAGAAAAGATTGGGGGTAGGAACTTTATGCCAGGAGTCTGGAGACTGTTTCTTCACTCAGCTCTGTCCCCTGGTTTTGCTAGATGACCTACCTACCTTCCTTCCTTCCTTCCTGCCTTCCTGCCCTCCTGCCTTCCTGCCTTCCTGCCTTCTTTCCTTTCTTCCTTTCTTTTTTTTTTTTTTTTTTCCTTCCTTCCTTCCCCAAGGGGTACATGTACAGGTTTGTTACATGGGTATCTTGCATGATGCTGAGGTTTGGGGTTTGAATGATCCTGCCACCTAGGTAACGAGCATGGTACCCAATAGGTAGCTTTTCAACTACATTTTCAGCCTTGCTCCCTGTATTAGGTAGTTTTTGTGTTGCTATAAAGAAATACCTGAGGCTGGGTAATTTTTAAAGAAAAGGGGGTTAATTGGCTCGTGTTTCTGCAGGCTGTACAGGAAGCATTATGCTGGCATCTGCTTCTGGGAGGCCTCAGGAAGCTTACAATCATGGTGGAAGGCAAAGAGGGAGCTGGTATATCACATGATGAGAGTAGAGGCAAGAGAATGAGGAGGAAGGTGCCACACACTTTTAAGCAACCAGACTTCGAGTGAACTCAGATGAAGAGCTCACTCATTATCATGGGGACAGAGCGAAACTATTAGGAGAGATCTGCCCTTATGACACAAACACCTCCCACTAGGCCCTACCTCCAACTCCAGCACTGACGGTTATATTCCAACATGAGATTTGGTGGCTACCAACATCCAAATCATATCACCCCTTTTCTCTCCCTCCATCCTCTAGTAGTCCCCAGTGTCTGTTTTTCCCATCTTTATGTCCATATGTACCCAGTGTTTAGCTCCCACTTATAAGTGAGAATGTGCAACATTTGGTTTTCTGTTTCTGCATTAATTCACATAGGATAATGGCCTCTTGATGCATTCATGTTGCCACAAAGGACATTATTTTGTTCTTTTTTTATGCCTGTGTAGCATTCCATGGTGTGTATATGCCACATATTCTTTATTCAGTCCACCACTGATGGGCATCTAAGTTGATTTCCTATCTTGGCTACGGTGAATAGTGCTGTGATGAATATATAAGTGCATGTGCCTTTTTGGTAGAATAGTCTATTTTCTTTTGGGCATATACCTAGTAATGGGATTGCTGGATCGAATGGTCGTTCTATTTTTAGTTTTTTGAGAAATCTCCAGACTGCCTTCCATAGTAAGTAGCTGAATTAATTTACATTCACCAGCAGTGTGTAAGCATTTCCTTTTCTCCATAGCCTTGACAACATCTGTTATTTTTTGACTTTTTATTAATAGTCATTCTGACTGGTATGAGATGGTATCTCATTGTGGTTTTGATTTGCATTTCTGTGGTGTAGCGATGATGAGCATTTTTTGATGTTTGTTGGCTATTTGTAAGTCTTTTGAGAAATGTCTGTTCATGTCCATTGCCCACTTTTAAAAATGGGTTTTTAAAATGTTTTTTGCTTGTTGAATTAAATTTAAAAAAATGTTTTTTGCTTGTTGAATTAAATTTCTTATAGATGCTGCGTATTAGATCTTTGTCAGATACATAGTTTATGAACATTTTCTCCCATTCTGTACATTGTCTGTTTACTCTGTTGATACATTTTTTTTTTTTTTCTGTACAGAAACTCTTTAGTTTAATTAGGTCCTACTTGCCAATGTTTGCTTTTGCTGCCATTGCTTTTGAGGACTTAGTCATAAATTCTTTGCCAAGGCCAATGTCCAGAAGAGTATTTCCTAGATTTTTTACCTAGGATTTTAATTATTTTAGGTCTTACATTTAATTGTTTACTCCATCTTGAGTTAATTTATTTTATTTTATTTTTTGAGACAGAGTCTTGCTCTGTCACCCAGGCTAGAGTGCAGTGGTGCGGTCTTGGCCTACTGCAACATCTGCCTCCTGGGTTCAAGTGATCCTCCTGCCTCAGCCTCCTGAGTAGTGGAGACTACAGGTACATGCCATGACACCTGGCTAATTGTTGTATTTTTAGTAAAGATGGGGCTTTTACTTTAGTAAAGATGGAGTTGCCAGATTGGTCAGGCTGGTCTCAAACTCCTGACCTCAGGTGATCTGCCTGCCTTGGCCTCCCAAGGTGTTGGGATTACAGGCATGAGCCACTGCACCTGGCTGAGTTAATTTTCATATATGGTGATAGGGTCCAGTTTCATTCTTCTGTATATGGATAGCCAGTTATCTCAGCATCATTTGTTGAATAGGAATTCCTTTCCCCATCGCTTATTTTTGTTGACTTTGTCAAAAATCAGTTGGTTGTAGGTGAACAGCTTTATTTATGGGTTATCTTTTCTGTTCTGTTGTTCTATGTGTCTGTTTTTGTACCAATACTATACTGTTTTGGTTACCATAGCCTTATAGTATAGTTTGAAGTCAGGTAATATTATACCTCCAGCTTTGTTCTTTTTGCTTAAGATAACCTTTCTTTTCTAAATGGCCTTTACTGAGTGTTCTCTATTCTGCCTACCTCCCATGAATCATGAATGGTGAATAAAGTATGAAGGTGGTAGTAGTATGGTTTTGACACATACATTATAGTAATATTGGTTAGCATGGCAAAAGTGGGTTGCAGGGAAATTTTGCAGGAGTTTTATATTTCCTCTGTTTTGTTTGTTTGTTTGTTTGTTTTGGGTTGGGGGATGGAGTCTTGCTCTTCTGCCCAGGCTGGAGTGCAGTGGTGTGATCTCAGCTCACTGCAAACTCCAACTCCTGGATTCAAGCAATTCTATGCCTCAGCCTCCCAAGTAGCTGGGATTACAGGTGCCCACCACCACGCCAGGCTAATTTTTGTATTTTCAGTAGAGACGGGGCTTCACCATCTTGCCCAGGCTGGTCTTGAGCTTCTGACCTCATGATCCACCTGCCTCGGCCTCACAAAGTGCTGGGATTACAGGCATGAACCACCGCGCCCAGCTTATGTTTGCTCTTAATAGTTATATTTTGAAACTTGAATATGCTCAACCCTTGCGTATATCCTTTTCTGATCTTTTTTCTGTCTGGTTTGTTAGATGTGGCATTTCTCCACTTTCCTGTATGGAGAATATGTAAATGTGGGTATGGGCAAAGGAGGAGTCATTTCTTTCTTATGTCCCTTTTATGAATCACCCAGTTGTCTTCCTGGTAGATGTCTGAACTCTGGCACAGATTCTGAGATTCAGTTTCCTTATTTGTGATGTTCAGCTTTTCGTGGTCCCTGTGATTGGCCTCAAAAGGAAATATCTGGAGCGGGGCCACGAGGCTGATTAGAGGAGGAAGGGACATAGAGGGAACAAGATATGAATGGTACTGTGAAAGGAAGAAGTGAAGATAAAGTACTGTGTGGGGTGTAAATGAAATTATCTAGGCCTCTTCTCACTTGAGAAAGTGAGTGTGGGTAATGGTCTCATCTAAGAGAACACAGGTGCCAGGGGAGGTAATCTTTGAGAATAACTCTATAGCTAGTTTGAGCTCGGGAGGCCATATAAAGTTTTAGTTACTTTTGCTTTCTATCACCTCAGTGTTCCTCTGTTCCTTCTGTGGTTTCAGGGCTTTGTGGTAGTAAAAATTTAACAGTTTAAAATTATAAGGATGTTAGATTTACTGAGAGTCTCTTTGTGCTTTCACCTACACCATGTTATCCTCCTTGAAGTCCCCCATAAAACATTAGAGTCTAGTAAGTATTTCTTCTTAAATAATCACACAGATTACTCTGAGAAGAAAAATGTATCATTTAAAACATTTTTAGAGTCCTGTAATTTTGGAGCTGAAAGGGACTCTAGAGATTGTCTGGTCTGATCCTATATTGTGAATAAGTTACTGAGCATGAGGTCCAGAGTGTGAAGAACACTACTCAGGAAAGTCCCTCAGCCAGTGAGTGCTAGCACAGATCTGGAAAAGCCCCGGGGTGACATGAAGGGTCCCAGAAGAGAGATGCTCATAGCTGATTTTTCTGAGGTATTAGGGTAGCTTCTGTACCACTTTTTGTGGCTAATTGCCCCAGTTACCTCTAAGTCTCTGTGGCTAGGAGATAAGACTGGCCTCCTCGGAGGTTGCGGTGAGCCGAGATCGCACCATTGCACTCCAGCCTGTGTAACATGAGTGAAACTCTGTCTCAAAAAAAAAAAAAAAAAAAAAAGACTGGCCTCCTGCCTTCCACAGGATTATGTTTTAGTTTGGGAAACAAGATTTATAAATAATGAATTAGCCAAGACAGTATATTAGGTGTGAGATGACAATACAGGACAGTACGGTTTGTAGCTATTTTGGTGGTGATTGGCTGTCATTGGTGTGATTAAAGAAAGTTTTATGAAGACATGGGATTTGACTGGCCTCCCAGAAAGACTAAAGGACTGGCATTGGAGAAGGCATTCCAGGCAGGGAGAGTTAAATTAGTCTAAATTGAAGCTCAGCAGCTGGAGATTACAATATGTGAAAGATCTTTGGCTGGAGATGGGGGTTCAGTGGGAGACTTATTAGTTAGAGCCACAGCTTAAGTCAAATTCCAATATGACAGATTTTAGTTAGATATTTTAGGATTGTGCTACAAAACTGTTAGTATCCATTGTGATAGCTTTACTGCAATAGTCTTTGGCCTCTTGCAGTAAAATAAGGTTTGTTTCAATTTCACCTATTTGTACTGCCTCTCTTTTCTGAATTTCTAATTTTCCAATTTTTACTTTTAATTTCTCTCTGTGTTCAAATTTCTGTTGGTGCTTTTCCCTTAACTCCTCTCCATCTATCAGACACTCAGAGCTACTATAGAATTTGGGAGGAGGATTTGGAACATAAACTGACCTACAAGTGAATTTCCCCAGGTGGATGATAAACTCCACTGCAGGCCACAGAGGGGCCTCGTCATTCCAGCAATCTGGCCAGGCTGACAGACTCATAGCCTGTGGGGGCAGGGGAGGGTGTAGGGGCCGGTATTTCTCGGGCTAGTGACGAACTGCCTGATTCTTTGCAGCCTAGACAGAGGAGGAAGGAGCCCCGGGGGCAGGCTAATCGCCTGGGCTGGGGATGCCTGGGCAGATGCAGAGGCAGCTGGAAAGGTGGTACCGCACCTTGGTTGCTGGAGCTGCCGCTGTTCCTAGGAGACCAAGGAGCAGCAAGCCTGCGGGGGAGGGGGAGCAAGTGGGTTGCTGCTTTTAGCAGCTGAAAGGGCTGCAGGGAGCTCTGGGTAAGACATTTTCTGCTGCTGCTGCTTTTGCGGTAGAAGCTGCCACGAGTAAGTCAGAGGAAGGAGGATTGAGAAGGGAGGAGGCTTCACTTGCAGCCATGCTGAATCACTGTTGCTGATCAAATCTCCCACTGGTCTGCTGGGAGAATCAAAACAGAGCTAGGATCCCTGGGTGCATGCACAGTTTAGCAGCTACCACCCTGGCTGGGCCTCACACAATGGAGGGTGAAAGGTATGTATATATAAGTGTGTGTGTTGTGTGTGTACATAAGCAAATGTGTGCTTGCGGTGCAGCCACCAGCATTTGTGTTTGCATTAGCTAGGCAGGGTTGGAAGACCTAGCCACTGATGGATCTCAAAGGGCGGCAGAGCAAGAGCAGGAAAGCCCCTTTCCAAACTATCCCTTCCAGGGCTTGAATCTCCAGAGATCTGGCTTCCGCAAAGGCAGGTCTGGGTTTGCTAGGCAGCGGAGCACCCTGAAAGAAGGGACTTCCTGGCTAGTGTTCGGGAATAGTTTCACCACAGGCTGAATTGGGATTGCCTTTCTCAGGCTGTTTCAAGGAGGTGTTTCCCTTTCCTGGCTACTTTCCCGGGGTGTTTTTTCTTTGGTGGGGGGTTTTTGATGTCATAGTGGGGCTGGCTTGACATAGTGTACTTGCATTTTCACGCAGGAGTGCTCGAATCTTCAGCAGGCATGCCATGCTGATGGCTGTGTGTGTGTGTGTGCATGCGTGCATGCTGTGTATGCCTGAATCCACACACATTCAGGGATGAAGGAGAGAAACCCAGTCAGATGACACTTGCTCTGAGCTGAGTTTCATATTTGTATTGAAAAGTTTATGAGTGATGCATGAAGATCTGTGCTGCTTTTATCAGGGATTTCTTTTGAAATAGGTACCAGCAGAAGAGATTTTAAGTTCTTTGTTGAGCTGGATCTAACTAGCGAGTGTTTATTTCCTGGCAGGCACATGCGCCTAAATTTTAAAATTGTTATCTGAAGATCTGAATCTTTTGTTGTGAAGGTGCTCAGTGCAGTGCAGAGGCGACATCCCCTGTCTATGAAGTAAAATATCTCCTGAGTGCCAACCTCTTCATTCTTCAGTGTGCAGCCGGTAGAGCGTACAGGGCTTGTCATTTTCTCTGAGGAGAGAAGACTGCAGGGAGGGGTCTGGCCATGGAAGTGCGCAACTGAGGGGAAGTCTGCTGGTTCATGTTGCCAGTTTGGTGCAGACAGTAACCATCTGGTTAACAAAAACAGGCTCAACTAGGTTAACACTAGAGAGTTTCTCAATGAACACTTTCCTTTTCATGGGTTGTTATGACTCCTGCATCTCACGTGGCACAGTGATGCCATTAAACATCTCTAGACCCCATTAGAACTGGTCTGATGGTTGGGTGTCATCTCATCCTCCTGTCTGAAGAGGCCCTGGGAACTGTGCTGCTGGTGCATTCTCTTTCTGGGTGCTCTTTGCAATTGGCACTTAGTGTTGAACTCCATGTGGCCTGCTGGGCAGCAGAACATGAAGGGCTGTTTCTTTAGGTGGGGGCAGAGATGAGCAATGTCTTTGGTCCCCCAAACAGTGTCCCATTGGTCTGGTAGGTGGCAGAGAATGGGGTTGATGTGATGGAGGTTTAGAGATTCTGGTCATGGCTATTTGTTTGACCTGTGGTGTAAATGGGGTTGAGATGTCAGTGTGAGACTACCAGCAGTGGATCAGTTTTGGACACTGTGTTCCCAGTTCAGAAATGTAATGAGTCCCTGCCCCTGTCCAGGTGCCTCTCAGATGGGATGGCTGATGTCTATGACTTTAGAACAGCAGGTTGCACATGTTCATGTACCTTTCCTCTGCTGAAGGCAGACAGTAGACAAGAAATCCAGACCGAGCAGCTTCCAGTGTTCACCATGTCACCCAGGTCATATCTTTTGTTTCTGCTCCAAGTCCAGATTACTATGCCAGGCATTCAAGTCTTCTGAACTCTGACTCCTTTCACCACTCCCACACTCACTCCTGTACCCACTAAGAATTCTGTTGGTCTCTTTCGTGATCACCCGTCCTATACATTATATCATCTAGCTTTATATCCTTAGCTCCCAGAGTTCCTTTTGCTGGATGTCTTTCCCTTCTTCTTTTGCAAAAATTATCTATCTATCAAGGTTATTCTAAAATTCTACTTTATCTTGGAAAGTTAGCTTTTCTAGTCCTGGCTGATGTTCTTCTGAATTCTAATACCTCTAGTTGGTCTCTCATAGTTGGACACTGAATAATAGGCCCACAAGATTTTTTGGTGCTTTTATTTCATGTATTTTACCAGTCCCCAAACTTGGAGACAGGTCCTCAAGGGCAAGGATGATGCCTTGTACTTCTAAATACCCCCATTGACTACTGTGTGGGTACACACATAGCAGGTGCTGAGTAGTTATTAGCTGATTAACTAATAACTTTTGTGTGAGGCTCTGATAACTAAAAAGAAAGTTGGTGAGAGAAGAGATTGAAACCTTTGGCCAATAAGTTCATCTTTGGATATCAGCCTTATTATCTTAGCACAGGTAATTGACTCCATGGAATGCTTTGAGGTAGGGGGAGAACAGAGGGTAGTAGCCTTGTTTTACAAGTTCCCTGGGAAATTGAGGTCTAGAGAAGCTGAGTGACTTGCCTAGGATCACATGCCAACCTCCAGAGACTGGAGGGATCCTGAATCTGGTGCTTATTCCACACTTAACCTGCTGAATCTTAATTGGGGCTGGCTGTTTTTAAGCATTACAAATTTTCAACCAAGAGAATGCTAATTAACATTTTTTTTTCTTTGCCATGAAAGGATGAAAATACTTCCTACCTTTAAAAGCTATTAATTAAAAGCATGGGCTTTGGAGTAACATAGACCTTGTGGTGAATCTACTTTACAATGTGACCTTGAGTGTGTCACATTTTTTTCCAGAATTAATTTTTCTCTTCTGTGTAAGGGCAATAATAACAGTACTTATACTTTTAGAGTTGTGAGGATTAAATGATATCATATGTGTTAGGTACCTAGTAAAGTTTTTTTTTTTTGGCACAGAGTAAGTACTCAGTAGATGGTAGTTACCATCTCCTCAGTAGATACCAATTATCATTGGTATCTGCCTATTGCTATGTTGTACCCTGTGCCTCACTGCTGGGTTACTTACCAAAGCATATTTTAGGGCCTCTTTCTGTTTGTCATCCAAAACAGATTATATCGAACCATTTCCATGAGGAAATGAGGTAGCTTATCAGGCCATCATCTTGCTTCTTACCTAAAACTATCTCCTTATAGTAAGTTACCTCATAGGGCTTGGCATTTCTTCTTTTAGGTTTCACCAAGATCTACTTTAATCTTCCTTTTTATAGACAACCTGTGGCATCCAGTTGCCTCAGTGGTTTGGAACCATGGGCTGGATACATGTTTGTTCATGCCAAACTCTTAAGAAGAACTTGTGAATTTGCACTATCCTTTGCTGTATCTTTCAAGATTTCCATGTCTCTCCTGGACCTTATGATGAGGGAACTTCCCCAGTTCTCTCCATGGGAGGATCACTGTGTCTTGACCAGTCAGAGGAAGATGATTTTGTCTTCTGTTTTCCCAAGGGAAAGGCTCTCTGTCTCTTAGCTACTGCAATGATAAATTGTGTCTGTGTGAGTGTGTATGTAGAGAAGATAGATATAAAAAATGGCAGTTGCCCTCGCAGTTGAGATTTTATTTCAGTTCTGGAAATCAGCCTTGTGGATAGGTTAAAATAAAATTTCAACATAAATGGTTAGTAAGATTCATAGAGACAGAAAGTAAAATGGTTGCCAAGTGCTGGAGGGAGGGAGGAATGGGGAAGTTATTGTTTAATGGGTAGAGAGTTTCAGTTTGGGAAGATGAAAGAATTCTGGAGAAGGATGGTGGTGATGGTTATACAACAGTATGACTGCGCTTAATGTGGCTGAACTGTGCACTTAAAAATGGTTAAAATTGTAAATTTTATGTTACCTCTATTTTACCACAATAAAAACAAATTTAGGCCCAGACTGGCAGATCTGAAAGTTACAGAGCGCCACAGCTTTGGAAGAAGCATCATAAAAAGGGGAAGTTGATTGTCTATTTTTCTTAAAATTGTGGTTATTTTCTTCATCGAAGCACAGGGATGCCCCTGCTTGAGAGGGTCACCATGTACCAGGCACTATGTCATGATTTGTGTGAGGTACCTCAGAGGATGGTTTTTACTGACTGGTATTTACGAAGAAGAGACTGTTCCTGGACCTCAGGAAGCTTCTGAGCCAAAGGAGCTCATCTATTTTTCCTTGATCCAGGAAAGACAGATACAGAATATTTTCTGAGGAGACAAGACTTAGAAAGCCAGTGCTCTTTAAATGTTGAGTTTTGCAATGTCACGTTAAATGCTGGCAAGACCCTGGAAAGAGCAAGTTTGAGCAACCGAGCCTTTTTTCTGTTCCCAGTGGCCAGTCACTAAGGCCTCTTCCAGCATTAGAAGTGAGGGATAGAAAATTCTGTAAAAAGTTTTGGCATCACTGCTACCTGAAGCAGATGTGCATGCATTTCAACCATGATAATTGAAACCAAATTTTTCCATTTTGGAAATACTTTTTTGGCGAAGTAAGGTTTTCAACTGCAAAAACAAAGTCAGGGAAAGAAACCTATTGATTTCCCTATACCCAGATTTGGATTTTTAGGATTTTGCTTGCTAAGTTTTAAATTGGTAAGACAGATCTGGACAAGAAAATTTTTGTGTAAGTTTTCCTAAAGCAAGTGCTTTATTTGATAAAATTTGCCATCATAGAACTGACCTAATTTTTTTTTTTTCAATTTCTGGATGAATGCTCACACTAGGTTAAATGGAATAGAGCATTAATAAACCATGTAAAAAACAGCTTGAACATGTGTTGGTAGATTTTTTTTTTCTGTTAAATAAGTTCAATGCCTCTCATGCATATAACTTTTTATAATTTATGAGGATTTTTAGAGTCTTAGCACAACTTTCCTGGACTTTTCTTTTCATTTATGATAGTATATTGTAGCCACTACCAAAAACACATGCATGCAAAGGCTCAGCTCTCCTATTCAAACCAAACATAAGCTTGCCTTCCAAAATGCCACATAATGAGGAACGTGTTTTCTTTTAGTCTTTCTCTCTTCTTGTCTAATTCTATCTGTCTGTGTAAAATGTTTTATAGTTTTACACAGCCCACCTAAGAGTTTTACCCTTGAGTT